GTACACACATTCCTATGTGAGGTCATTTCACTATTTATACACGCATTCCCATTTTGCTTTAATTTAACCATTCATGCACGCATTCGTATGTGAGTTTTTTTCATTATTTGCAAAAGCATTCCTATGTGAGCTAATTTCACGATTTGTACACGCATTCCCACGTGAGCTCATTTTACTGTTCGTAAATGCGTTCTTATGTGAGCTCATTTCACTATTCGTACAAGCATTACCATTTTGCTTTAATCTCACTATTCATATACGCATTCCTATGTGAGATCATTTTACTATTTGTACACGCATTTCCATGTGAGCTCATTTTACTGTTCGTAAATGCTTTCTTATGTGAGCTCATTTCACTATTCGTGCATACATTTCCATTTTGCTTTAATTACACTATTCATACACGCATTCCTATGTTAGCTCTTTTCACTATCTGTAAAAGCGTTGCTATGTGTGCTCTTCTCATGGAGTATGAAAGAGGTCAATTTCTCTGACAGTGTTTTGAAGTTTGTTGGCATGTCCCGGTACAGATGTTTTTTTTTTATCTCGTCGTTGATTGAGTTTTTTTCATCACTTTCGTATGGCGACTCTATTCTTTGAAACATTTGTACGCATTAAGCTATGGCATAATAAGACCTATATCTACTGACGGTTATTTTTTTCGACCGGCGTGATAGTATTTTTTCTTTCGAGTTCATCGTCAACGCCTACATGAACAATCAGTAACGCTGTCATGTTGACAATTAGCGATGTTGAACGGTTAAGTTGTGGTGGCCTCGGTTTTCTAATTCTTGGCGTGACACTACTGACGTGTTGTTCGACTTTTCTATGGAGGGTTGTACCTCAAATGACAAAATAATAAGTGAAATTGTAAAACAGGCGTGGGGAAAGAACTGTGGAAAAGGAAAGAAATCAATGGGTATACAAGACTTAAGCAGATGCAGAAGTAGATGCTCAAGACAGAGAAGCATGGATGAGGAGATGCTGACCCTATTATGCACCAGGAGACACGGAATTAAGTAAAATCAAGAGGTTTCGCCGAGCGGTCGGGTGTGTGAGGCGCCTGCCATATAGTTAAGTTGTGACCGGTCTTTGAATTTATACCATTCCTTCATCAATTGACATGTCCCGTCCCATTTGCTAAAGAACTTACGAGTACATGTTTCAACAACGGTATATTAGTAATTGACAATACCTAATATCACACTGCGTCCTGGGACTTATACCGACGTACACAACGCGTGTCAAATTCATTGTCTGTGTACTGAAAGTTCGAACACGTGCTGCGCGACGACCACTGCCCTTTAATCCTTAAGCAGATCGTCAGCTTGAATTTATTTCCTTTTCAATATTTCTGGCGGTACTTTGCGTATGTGTTAGTTTCTTCCTTGGCCGATTCCTTGGCCGATTCTAAATTTTCAAGCTGGTGGGCATGAGAAGAGAAACAAAAGTAATTTAAAATACGTTACTGGTCATAGGCAAGTCGATCAATCTTGGACGTGTGACCCAGGGAAAGTTGAATATTCCTTCTTACTCGCATTACGGGGAAGCACCAGTCATCTAACTATAACCACTGACCTGTCAGGCTTGACTAGCCACAATCCTGTATTGGGAGGTTATATTTTGCTCACACAGAAAACGTGACTAGATTTTAAAAGGAATTTTATGCAGGAATAATAATTCATGTAAAGAGAATGAATGGAATTGACAAATTTACGCCGTATTTAAGGAGAAGTCTAATGAGCTCAAATAGGAATACGTCTACGAATAGTGAAATGCACTTATGTACAAACGGAATATGCTAATACAGAAATGTAATGACCTAATTTTACGTTCTCACATAGAAATGTAATTCTTGAATTTAGCATGGATACAACACCGTACGTGTCTGAACCAATTTTATTTAATACAAGTTAGTTTCAAGACAATTTTATACATATCGACATCTAACATGTCATCAATCGCTTCTTAGGCACGCCTGGGTGGATTGTATTCAATCTTTGTATTAACCTCACACATAATAGGATACTGATACCGTTGTTTAGGTGATTTCATTCAAAATGGCAGTTTGTCGGTTTGATTTTTTGTCGTTAATCAACTCCCGATTGTTCATTGACTTATTTGTTTAAATACAAAATATTTAGTGTGCATGTCGATTAGTTTTCCGCTTTTATGACATTTAACGAACTGGCGGACCTTTTGTTTCAAAACAGATTTGCATATGTGCCCGTTTTCATTGATTTTAGTCAATGTCAATGACGAATGTTTGACTGACGGTCATTTGTTTCATGTGATACTCTTTCACAGATTGTGTGTAAATTGGTACCAAAACAAGCCATATTGCGTTGTACGCTGTTCCGACTTTTTGGATTTTAATAAAAATGTCTGGTGATCATTTTTGTATAATCATTAACTTATCATAAACCGTTTCTCAATTACGCCTGGTACAATTTTATTCAAACTTAGCATGTATATAAAATAAGATGGGTTACTTGTGTACGTCAGATATTTCCAATGGTCGATATGCGGCCGTGTTGGTTTTATATATGTGTCCGATTTTTTTTCAAAAAATGTCAACAGATAATAAATATTACCTAGATATGTACATTTTGTTTTCATTCCATTGACATTTGAGGGACTAGCCATCATTTCAGTATCAACATTTCAACAGCTTTTAGGTGTGCCTGGTCCGATTTCAATCAAACTTGATTTTCTCTTCTTTTTGCTCAATGCCGGTTTTTCTCACACATTCATGCTCACAGTTTTATTCAAAATGGCCAACCGGTGGCCATTTTTGTTACTTGTGTGTCTTACCCATTTCCCAGAAACCTTTCACTGATTTTGTTTAAAAACTAGGTACATAATGCAGACATAATGGGTTTGATGAAATTTGAATGAATGTCTTCCAATTATGATTATTATTTTAATAATCTATGCAAATAAACAGATCGCTTTACGACGTGTTTAACATGGGCTCACATAATTACGATGTATGTGCTGCGTGTTTGTATGGAAACTGCAAAAGAAATGTCTAGTTTACGGCATTCAGATCAGAATCACTAAACACGTCTATTGATTTTCATTTGATACGAGCCTGTCATCAAATGACTCATTGGCTAAATAAATTTAATGTGATAGGAGGGCATGAAGTAGTCCCTATGAATTTGTCGAGATTATTGGCTACCAACAAAATGAACGTTTTTAACAATCAGAATAAAACACTTGCCTGTATCGCTGTCAATGACCTGGTGGAGAGCCCGTTGCATGTCTTCCGCCAAGTCGGTTAGTCTGCGCTCAATTACGTATAACGCCGAAAGATTACATCGTCTTGAGTCGACTATCTGCTCAAAACCATTTTCAGAACTAGCCACCAACAGTGGAAAGAGTATCAACAACATCAGTCTTTCCTTACAAGACATGATTTTTGATTCTGTAAAACGAATACGTGACGCTAGTTATATTTTAAACTTGAGAAGCTGTAAATCACAAAAATGAAACGGCTTATTAAAACCCTGGATTTACAAACTGTTTTTTAGATATGAAACACGGATCTAAGAATCATATGACAAAACCGGACACTGATAGTCGTGAGTTCATCTGACTAATGTGGTTATTAGATTCTAATTCAAATCCCATCTGGCGTGGAATGCCAAATAGGGATCAATAAGCCACCCTTCGAGGAGGAGGACAATTTTACTAATGAATCCGACATTGGGAAATGACATACGCTTTATTTTTATTATTTTGAAATTATGAATTATGGAAATAAAATCGCTATATTTTGTAACAATTTTCCCGTTTTGGTAAGCCTCTACTTTTACGATCATGTATACATCTATTCATATAGAACTGTTGGTACATGGGAATTATAAACTTTTTTAATTTAAATCTCGGGCTTACTCACGAATTATGTACAAGATACTTCGGTATTTTCTGTAAATAATGTTCCCTCTTGTCAGGATCCAATTATAGGTTACGTGCTCCCAAGAACCGTTGTAGAGAGTCTGGGTTTCAGTCTTATGCAAATTAACAGTGTGACACCCCCGGGTTTAACTCATATATTTACTGATTAATTATGCATTTATTTAGTCTAGAATACTAGCGTTGTGTTTGAAAAACTGTGACTCGCTCAGCTGATAATAATTATACGTAGAGATACCAGACTCGACCCCAAAGATATATACATTAGTTCATTACAGTCCAGGTATATTAACCCAATCGGTGAGCTGAGGTAACCCCTCGCTGCTCACTTCTTTTCTTTTTATCGTACAAATCTTACAAACTCTATCCTAAACTCTAAGGCGCGGCGGAGTAAACATGCAAAGCCAATCGCTGCAGTCGTTGGCGAGATTACGTGATTACCAGGGATGTGTCTCACGGTTAAAGCATTTCGATGTTTGTTGCCCGCGTAATTACAAGGTTCACGGCTGTTCCATGCATCATATGAGAGAATTGTATTATCGAGACATACACATGTGCCTTCATTCTAAATGTATTTAATAATAATTATATTTGTCATCATTACAAGATGTAATCAATATTGAAAATAAAACAGGTTATATGTGTATTATGAATATCGATTCAGGGCACATACTTATTTTAAATAAATGAAGATTTGAATTATTTGTTAATTTTACGATTTGAAAGGAAAACAAACTGTAATCACAATTATTACGATGTACAATAACTCTATGTCAGTACAGCCAAGTAACCACATAGCTAAACCATGCACATTCAAATAAATTCTTCTAGGATAACATTGTTCGTATAAGTACATGTTCTCAGCAGGCGTATTCGGAACTGCTAAGTAGGCGTTCATTGTATTACAATGTTCAGCTGCCTCGTCCCAATTCATCAACACATCACTTGGACTGAACCAGTAGCACGATGACTGGAATGATAACCATTCGGGTGGACATATGCCTGTGTGGAGAAATGAACGTGTCCCTTATTGCGACGTTGTTATATATGTAAGAGCACGGCAGGACTCCAGAAGACGTACCTACACTTTATGCAATTTTTTTTAATTTATTCATGACGTAGCAGTTTCTGTGCTCATGAATATTCATTAATTTTTGGGTCAATACATTTTAAAAGGGGTCGATATATTATTTTTTGGGGAAGAGTTAGAAAGGGGGATCAGTAATCATTAGGGGGTCAATACAAAAGGAAGGACCCATTTGTCTGTTGTTGCACGTAACCTACAGCTTTCAACTGTGTTCGTTCTTCATCGACTTCGACTTCGACTGGCTTCCATGTGAGGCAGTATTCTTGTGTTCTGTTTTTCTGACTTCAGTTTTTGAATCCGTTGTTTATGTTTTTAACGTCTTTCATGTCTTTTGTAGGAGTGTCCAATCCGTGATTCGAACTTACGATCTTTGAGTTCCCAGCGCACTGTCTTGACCACTTTACCACGAGTGCCTTCACACAAGTGATAGTGTTTAAGTCCTATTCATAGGAGCACTGTCTTCACTAGCATTCAAAAATCTAACGAAACATACTGG